AGCCGCTTCACGAATTTTAAATAAACAAAATTGAAAACAAAAATAATGTGCGTGTAGTCGTTATTCAGTGTGTACACTGTAAATCTAAGTGTGACACATTTTTGTCCCCACTTTAAAATCACACTCTTTCTCGGTGTTTCCAAATGCACACCGCCCACTCTGTACCACTCTATTACAAAATTCCCGTTGTTTTGCGATCATTTGTCGCCTTACACCCGACGTTAAAGTGAGAGTATGTGATTGTCAGTGTGTACAGCGAGAGACTGTCTTGTCAGTGTGTACAGTGAAAGTCTGTCTTGTCTGTGTGTAAAGAGAGAGTCTGTTATGTCAGTGTGTACAGTGAGAGTCTGTCTTGTCGGTGTGTACAGTGAGAGTCTGTCCTGTCAGTGTGTACAGTGAGAGCCTGTTGTTACCTTGTCAGTGTGTACAGTGAGAGTCTGTCTTGTCAGTGTGTACAGTGAGAGCCTGTTGTTACCTTGTCAGTGTGTAAAGTGAGAGTCTGCCTTGTCACTGTGTAAAGTTCAATTGGTTCAAACCAGTTCCCAAATGGAGAGTGAGAGTGTGTCTTGTCGGCGTGTACAGTGAGAGTCTGTCCTGTCAGTGTGTACAGTGAGAGCCTGTTGTTACCTTGTCAGTGTGTGCAGTGAGAGTCTTTGGTTACCCTGTCAGTGTGTAAAGTTCAACTGGTTCAAACCAGTTCCCAAATGGAGAGTGAGAGTCTGTCTTGTCAGTGTGTAAAGAAAGAGTCTGTCTTGTTGGTGTGTACAGCGAGAGTCTGTCTTGTCAGTGTGTACAGTGAGAGTCTGTCTTGTCGGTGTGTACAGTGAGAGTCTGTCTTGTCAGTGTGTAAAGAGAGAGTCTGTCTTGTCAGCGTGTACAGTGAGAGTCTGTCTTGTCGGTGTGTACAGTGAGAGTGTGTCTTGTCGGTGTGTACAGTGAGAGTCTGTCCTGTCAGTGTGTACAGTGAGAGCCTGTTGTTACCTTGTCAGTGTGTGCAGTGAGAGTCTTTGGTTACCCTGTCAGTGTGTAAAGTTCAACTGGTTCAAACCAGTTCCCAAATGGAGAGTGAGAGTCTGTCTTGTCAGTGTGTAAAGAGAGAGTCTGTCTTGTTGGTGTGTACAGCGAGAGTCTGTCTTGTCAGTGTGTACAGTGAGAGTCTGTCTTGTCGGTGTGTACAGTGAGAGTCTGTCTTGTCAGTGTGTAAAGTTCAACTGGTTCAAACCA